GCTCTTTCCGAATGAGATATCCACTGCACAACTTCTCTTTTATGCAGTGCTTCAGATGTCGTTTTTCCCTCCTGCGTTGTCTAAATGCGCTAAAATACCAATAATTTGCATATCCCAACTTTTTCTTCCTTTCATGTGATTTTGACGTTCGTCTGACCATTCCTTCCTGGTGCTGCAATTTTAATGGCCAGCAGTGTACAAGTAGAAAAGCTTTTGGCTAGCCAATACTAGTCAAATCAGAGTGCTGTTATGCCAGCAATGTGCAATGTACATTTTTTTTAGCAGTGTACAGAAATCGGTAGCAAAAAACAATCAAACAAGCAGACCATAACCATCAACATCTGCTACAAAAATTTCGTAATTAATATGTGTCTCCGTTTTTGATGCATACGATAATAATATACAGATACCGTAATTAGAGCAAGTTCTGTAGCTGGAATACGTATCGCGAAGCGTTAGAAATGTCTTTTATAGATTTTATTAATTATAGGAAAATTAAATATTAAATATCCAAAATGATTTTAAATGGTACAATTCGTTATACTGATAAGTAATGTATTTTATAATCTGAAAAGTAAATGAAAAATATTTTTAACACGCGAATTAAGAACAGTTTAGGATTTCATTTTAGAGTTCAGATGTGACCCAGCGAAATAAAAACACTAACAACCGAACATTTTTATTGCTCTCATGTTGGGATTTTTTTCAAAGATATTCATTACACATTTTTCGAACATTTTAAAGTCTTGCGAATTTCAGTATAAAGGTGCTTCGTTAGATTTGTTTAAGATTTAATTTCATTCTGTTTAGATATGGCTCTTAATTGCTTTTCAAGATATTTATTTAAGGGGACTCATACACCTTAAAATCCATAAGATGTTCGAATATGACTGTTGCAAGAATTTATTTTAAAAGCAATTACTACCAACTTTTTACAGATGACTACATAATATAGCTGCTTTCTGAAATAGTTATCGGAAAGTTTGTGTTGCCACAAATATTTTCATAATTTAATCCGCTTTGTGACAACATTTTTCGTCATGTTTCTAACTTGCGCGCACGGTTTAAAACATTCTGTTTCATAATTTAATTCCATATTTAATATATAGCTTTTATAACATCTGGAAACTACTGTGAACCTAAAATTCTAAAAATTTCATGTTAAATTTTTATTTTATTTTGAGATGAGTTTATAAAATGTATTGTATTAAAAAAATTTGCAATGTTTTCGTCCATAAAATTTTTAAAAATTAAAATATTCATCATATTGTTGGTTCAGTTAGAAAATAGTGCCCATATAAAGAATTCCATCAAATTTCAAGTATGTACCATTAGAAATTTTTAAAATATCATGCGCGCAAGGTAGAAATATGGCGAAATATTTTGTCACAAAGAGGATTAAATTACAAAACTATTTGTGGCAACACAAACTTTCTGGTTACTAGTTTCCAAAGGAGTTATATCATGAAGTCAGCTGTAAAAAGTTAGAAGTAATTGCTTTTAAAATAAATAAAATATCTCAATTCTTGCACTAGTCACATATTCGAAGATCACGAGGGGTTTAAGGTGTATGAGTTCCCTTAAGTTGCTATGTTTAAAGGAAAACATCACAGCATCTTCTTTATATCTAAATATTATTCTTTGGATAGGAGAATTTGTTTTTAAAATTTCTCTCTTTAACGAAACTAGTCTACAAATTCTTTAAGAATAATAAACTCATTACACTTTTAATACAATTTCAATACACTATATCAGATAAAGGCACTTGCTATAGCATAATCTGTAGTAGAGTGATCTTGTGTAATAAAAGATAGCCTAACAATAAGATTCTCAATTCATCGATTCTTTTACAAACAAAGACGATATAAGTTATTTATTTTTAATACATTTTGAATGGTTTGTGATGCGTTTTTTACATTCTTCCGGAAATTGTTTAATTATCATATTTCTTTACGTCTTCCTCTATGAATCATTTGCTTGAATCCAGTTTTCCTGTTGTTGACAACCATTATTGAACTATTATCATTGATTTCTTCTTCTGACAGGACTCAGAAATGCCGCATCAGTTGTTAAAAAAAAAAAGTCTTTTTTATTTAGTTAGGGTTTTCGGAATTGAAAAGATGACTCTGAAGTAGCTATGAGTCAACAACTGTACGGTGAAAGGGTCAGCGGCAATTCCTACCGTAAACCGGCTGGGGAAAATTAACTCTGCCTCTTGTTGACACAAGGCTATTTCGCAATTTAACATCGCAGGTTCTTTGTTACTACGGGAAATAAATACTTTACTGGAATTGATTCTAGTTACTTGATTCAGCAAATAACTGCGCAGTGTCTAGGGGAACTGTTATTCAGAGATGTGCAATAGCGCTGTCATTAACATAAATTATATTAAAATTTTTCCACGTGGAATTTGTAACGGATTATTTTACTATGACTTTTTACCGTAAAACTAATGAGTTTAAAAAATAAATTAACTCGTTATTTTCAAACATCAAAACATTTACTCAATATGTTACTTTAAAAGTAACTAAATAGTGTTTAACGACGTTATTTGAATAAGATTCAATTCAAATGCATTTTTAAAATTTTGTTTGGTTCTGACCATATTTTAGATTACATTTTGTAATATTTTGAGTTTTAAATATTCCTAAAAATATTCATAATTTAATAAATGTATTTTTAACACACATTATTAATAACAAAAAGAAGTTCGTCAGTTAGTTCTAAATTATGAGAACTTGAAAAGTTAAAAGCTAAAAAGCACAAAACTGAAAGAAAATCATACGATTCTATCCCTGATGTATAAGATACGGCGTTAGAAACATATTGTTGCGTTATTTTTCTTCTCTGACACCAGTTATTACATTATTTTCTGCTTTCACGTTCGTACGGGGTTCGTGTGGATTTGGAGTGAATAACGACGACACTTGATGAAGTATCGTAACACACTTTATTCGCTGGTATTAATCAGGACAACTCAAAAATCTCGTTTACAGTCGTCGAACTGTTATAAACACGCTGACACGATCAGCAACACAGCTTTCAGGCTATCAAGCTATCACGGTGGAAACAGCTTCACTGAAAAGCACCAGAGTACAGGTCACGACTCTGCTTGGTCGTTCTCGGAACTGCACGTACTCTCGAGACTCTCCACGCTACAACTCGTGATGCACTCGACGACACACAGAGCACGGCTCCCGACTCTTCGGTTCAGTCGTTCCCGGAACTCAACACGCTCTTTCGACGATGCACTAACCGCGATACAGTAAGAGACTCTTTCGGTGCACTCGACGACCCACTGGGCAATCGCTGGCCGGCTTTCAACTCGATCGTCTCCGCACGGACTAACTAGATGAGACACACTCACTTTGCGGACCAGCAGGGTTTATATAGCTTTTGGCTTGTGTTCGAGAACATTCTGAGCTAAACCGGTAAGAATTCGTTCCATAAGGTTCTCCATCCGTCCATGGCATATCTCCAATTTTGTCACCAAATGGGCGATTTCTTGGCAAATGTGGCAACCCTGCATTTCTTGCTATTTTATTTCAACCCTAAAATTGCTTTGCGGGGAAGCTATCTTACCGCGCCTGTACATTTCGTAACAATATTTTGGTAATTGCAATAACATATTTAAATTGAACCAGTTAGATATATAATTAAAATTAAAATACTTATTATAATTTAAGAAATGCATTAATGTTCATTCGCTCAGTTTATTAAGCAACTAGAGATAAAATATATTGGAGACAGAAATTAAAAGTTTTGCTTTTGACGCATGGCAGCATTCCGAAGTAAAGAATATACAACAGACATATAGCAATAAAAGTTATATTTTCCTGAGTGGCAACACTTACCGCGGGTAGCGATATACATAAATCCGGTAATGTAACGTAATAATTAAAAATAAAGAAAAAGAAAAATTTGCTAAAAACATTTCGGACATTAAAATTGAGGTTTATATTCACGCAAGGAATCACAAATTTATTTTAACACGTGATTTAGTTATAATATAAAATAAAAACTTACAAGATAGATTATGATTTTATTGCGTATTTTGGTTAAATCAAATTTGTGGCAACGTATAATGCTTATAAGTATTCATTTCGTGTTGTAGATATCAATGTTTGATTTGCTAAGATAGCTAGCTCAGTTACAGCTAAATCTGCGAGCAACAAATCATCCTACCGGGTCTTGGCAGGACAGGACAGGACAGGAAAAAGTGCAGGAGGCACCACGACATCGTCATAGACAAAAATGGTATTGCTCCACTGCACTAACCTTTTCTGGCATTTATTAAGACAAAAGATTACAAGTCATTACATTACGTAGCTGACATAACAAATTGCATTAAAGTAAAAAGTTATTTGCATAAGAAGAACAATTATAAAGATAAACTGGGGTGTGTTACCTGTAGATAATCGAGGTACAGATATATTGGTATACAGGAATCAATATGGAGATAACATGTTACAATTAATTAGGTGTTGCAGTTTGACATTTGTTGGTGTGCTTGGAGGAATGCCTTAGCATATGGGAAGATGGATGTGATGTGAGTTATAATGCTATGTTATTTTTGTGTTGGTGGTATCATTGTGTGATTGTGCACAGATTTTCCAGAGTTTACTTTGCACAGAGTTCATTATGCATAGAGTTCAATGTGCACAGAATTGTGCGCAGCAGCATGGAGAGCACTTTGTATAATGGGCATCAGATAATAGTGTAAAGTTCAAAGTACTGCGCTTTGGTAGTTTGAAGGCACTGGTAGTTGATAATTATCACTCACATAAATAGTGATGACTTAGGATAGGAGCACTCCCTGTTGAATATCATATTTGAATCATATGAGTACCTTAGATTGTTTCCATGGAAAGTTAAATGGTGAAACTGCAGATTAGATGTCTCGTTCTTCAGTGGAAGTGAGCAAACAGTCGTGATTCTTTGGACAGCTGTGTGGTGGCACTTCGATTGCTAAGTATTCATCATTACGTCCGTTTTGTTATTTATGAGTGGCATAGTTCTCTACCTTGTTGTTGTAGCTTGTCTATGATTAGTTTAATGTTTTTGTAGGTGTGTTGATGGTTGATTAGGAATCTTTTAAATTCCATTCCCACTTGAGTAGGGTGTTTGACGTGTAGGTTGGCGGTTAGTGGGCAATGAAAGACATAATGGTCAGGGTCGCCTCTTTCCCCACATACGCACAAATCAGTAGAAGTAAAATTTCTTTCCAAGAAATATGTAGGGAAAGGGCCGTGACCTGAGATATATTGTGTCAAGAAATAGTTGGATACTGTGCGTGTATCGTCTATCTTCGGTATAAAGCTGCAGGTACGTCGTCCTGTTGTACCATTTTCCCAGTCTTGCTGCCATGTCTCAGTTGCAAGTTGTTTGAGCTTTGATTTTAATGCCGATTGTGGCCAGGGGATGTTTATACCGTCACCGACTTGATCAAGTGCTGCCTGTTTTGCAAGGAAGTCCGCCCTCTCATTGCCTTCGCAATTATTATGGCCTCTGGTCCATGAGAGAATGAACTGCTTATTACTTGTCCTTATGGTCTTCTGGATGTCCTGTGCTATTGGTGAGTTGGTGTAGAAGCTTTGAATAGCTTGTATAGATGACTGACTGTCTGTCACGATATGAATGGTGTCTGTTGGGTCTCGTAGCAGGTGGTTGATGGCGAGGCGAATAGCGGTTAATTCGGCCTGGTAGACACTGTTATTTGATCTCAGGTGCCCCTGCCATTCCGAGTGAACTTGTGCTGGTGCTGATTGAGGTGTACTGGTGTTGATGCAGATTGTTGCTGCACAGCCCACTTTATTGTCAATTTTGGATCCATCTGTGAAAGCTGTTATATTGGTGTTAGGAGGAGGTTGGTTGAAGTTGCAGTGGAGGTTATGGAGTTTGAAGGCTGGATGTGTCTGGTATTTTGGGGGTTTTTCTTCATATTCATCAGGGTGGAACATGGTATCTGCGAATTTTGCTGGTTTTCTTAGCTGTAATACTATTGTCGAGATTGCTTCTACTTGAGTTTCTATTGGTAGGGGAATAACTCCGGCGAGTGTCTGCAGGGCATTTGTTGAAGTTGTGACATATGCTCTTGTTATGTTGAGTAAGAATGGTCGCTGAATTGAATTTAATAATCTTCTTTTGCGCTCTGTCATTGGAAATGCCCATATTGCTGCTGCATAGGTGATGATTTTGTTGATTACAGTTTTGAGTAATATTTTCATGATTTTGCTGTTGAGGCCCCAGGAGTAACCTCTCATAGTCTTTAGGGATTGAGCAATTTTGGCGGTGGTGAGTTTCTTCTGTTGAAGGTGTTCGATCCAGTTGAACTTATGGTCGATAATTAAGCCAAGGTATTTAATGGACTTAACACATTTGATTTTGTTGTTGCCTATTTTCAGAATTGGGTATCTGGTGATGGAGCGTCCAAGCTTGTGAATAATCAGGGCTTGGCTTTTAGAGTGAGAGATTTGCAGTTTAATCCTGTGGCACAGCTGGTTGAAGATGTCAAGCGTAACGTTGCAATTTTCTTGGAGATGGTCGCGGGTGGAGCCTTTGACGATAAAAGCAACATCATCGGCAAAGGCCACAATTTTGGTGTGCTCCGGCCAGGTGTGGTCAATAATGTGATTGAAGGTGACATTCCAGAGGTCCGCACTCATACATGATCCTTGTGGGCATCCTCTAGATTGATTTCTGTAGATGGTTGAGTTGTTGTAAATGACGATGCTTTTCCTATTGTCGAGGTAAGAAGTTATTAATTGGTAAAGATTTTTGGGACAGTCAATCTCTCTGAGGGCCTGTTTTATGGCTGGCCACCAGAGAGAGTCGAAAGCATTTTGGAGGTCCAGGCATAGAAGTGCAGAATACATTTGGTGTTGTTTATTCTTTGAGATCTCTGAGAGTGCAGAGTCAATTGCGTGAGTAGTGGATCTATGAGGTTTGAATCCGAACTGATACTTGCTGATTTTGTTATTTTTATAGAGGTGATACTTGACTCTTGTAATTGTCAGTCGCTCTAGTAATTTGCCCATTGCTGGTAGTAGGTTGATCGGACGGTATGAGCGCGGATCCTCTGGGTTTCTGTTTCTTGGAAAAGAAGACTATTTGACCGATCTTAAAGCAGTCTGGAAAACATTTGTATTCCAGGCACTTGTTGTAGAGGGTGAGTAGAAGATCTGGAGTTTCCCTGCATATGATTTTTAGAATTTTGTTCGGTATGCTATCAAGGCCAGGGGCTTTCTTATTATTTAAGGATTTGACGTGTTGCCTCAATTCATGTTTAGTAAATGGGATGTCGTCAGGGGTGGAGGGGAGATTGTCGTTAGCTCTCATTTGTGCTTGTTCAGGGGTGTCTTGATTGCTGTCATCTTTAAGGAAGACTTCATCCATTATTGCATTGAGGGTGTGTCCAGCGTGGTATCTGCATTGTTATTTTGTTGGATTTGATGGGTGGCATGTATTTGCGTAGGTCTAAATATTTTTGATGTGGCCATTTTATAGAGGGTGCCATAGGTGTCTTGATTGGCAGTGCAGTATTTGCTCCATGATTGTAATTTAGCTGTAATTATCATTTTCTTGTATACTGCCCGTTGTTTATTATACTCAATCCATGCTGATTTTCGCTCTTCCTCTGTGGTGCGCGTTTTCATACGTCTTCTGAGGGCTCTTGTTTTTTGTCTTGCAGCTCGCAGATCTTTTGTCCACCAATTGGCTCTTGTAGACTGGTTGGCTTTTTTTATTTTTAGTGTATTTTGACAAAGTTCTTGGATTTGTCGCGTGGTGTTTTCTGCGCTTGCATTGATTTCATCTTTGGAGTTGCATGTGGTGAGTTCTTGCAGAATGTTGTTGGCGATCCTTCTTAGAGATTTGGTGAATTTCTTCTCCGTTTGTTGATTGATTTTGAAGCGCATTGTATGGATTTGTTCAATTTGCATGTTGACTTCGAAGGTGATGTAGTGATGATCAGAATTGGAGTGGTCGTCACTGATTTTTCTATTGGTGATGTTATTAATCAGATGGTGGGTTGTAAGTAGAAGGTCTGGCCAACCTTTACCGTTAATTGTTTCAAAAGTAGATGAGTCATCAGAGTTATTGTGGAGTATTAAATTCTGAGAGTGGCAATAATTTTAGACCCTCAGTTAACGATATTTAGTGATTCCTCGCTAATTTGGCGACTTTGACTCAGTTAACGATATTTGGTGATTCCTCGCTAATTTGGCGGCTGAAAGTTTTTGGTGTATTTAATTATGGCAAAGCACACTAGGGCTATCTACCTAAGGGGAGGGATGCCTTCGTGGAGGACGTTCTAAGGAGAACTGGCTCGTATACACTTTACACATGAGGAAAACCACGAAAACGCCCATGCAGCCAGCCCGTTCGCGGGATTCGAACCTCGGACCGAACTACCAGTGTTCAGCGACTTTGCCGTTCGGCCGCTGGCGGGCCGAAAGTTTTTTGAAGTCGCACTATCGAAGTTTGAGCAGTCTAACGAAGAGAATGACGTGAGCAGCTTGTGAGTTAGTTTGGTTAGTCGTATCAGAGGCGCGTGACTGTGTCGAACTCCTTATTGATTAAGAGTTTGCTGTATGAATGATTTTGGTGATCTATGATTTTCCTTGAGTGTTATAAATTCTCCTTATCTCAGTTTCTCTTCCTTGAACTATTTACAGCTGTTTACTTTGCTGTATGAATTGTTATTTATTTCAATAAAGGGTGAAATTGTTTTGTTCATATGGCGTAGTTGTTAAGTAGACGAATCTATGCCACGCACAACTTTAATTTTATGACTAATTTGTTATTAAAAAAGTAAAATTAATGTTGAATTTAATTGTTTTACTATTCTTTAACGGCAATTCTTCCAGATTTAATTTAGAAAGGCGGCTCTTCCAATAATTCTGCCATATGCTTCTTAGCAAAGACCAGAGAATTACTAGCTTTTGTTATTTAATTATTTTGTTTTAATATATATATTCAGTTTTAGGACTAATTATCATGTTTATGCTTCATATTGTTTGATTCGTGCTTTCTTTCATGTTAGATAGCTTTCCACGTTTGGTAGATTTATATTTTAATTGATTCATATTAATTTCGCAGCATTTTGCTCGACATTAATAACTTTTAATTAAATATTTATATTAAATATAAATAACATATATGGATCAAGTATTGATCATATATGTTTATAAATATATATGATAGTATTGATCATATTTATTTCTGCACAAGACTCGTCAGTAGCGAGTGAACAAGATCACGAAATATTATTATTCCTATATTTCGTCGAATATGCTGATTTTTGATACATTTAATACGTATGTAACTTGAATGTTAGCCGGTTTGCCTTAGAAAATGCAGCATGAAGACATATAGGTTCTGCATGTGATAAAGCTTGTTCCATTAAATGGCGGATCCTTTTCGTTTAGAAAATTTATCGCCCTGTTATTTTTAGAATAAAGAGAGAAGTTAAAGGGCTATTAATTTATTATTTGAAAGCTAAATTTTATATCTTACACACGTGTGTGTAAGATAAAAAAAACATGTAAATCAAAATTATAATTTAAATTGACAATAACTCTTTCATTCCTCATTTTTACTGTGGGTATTTCCCTTCATTATTCTAAAAATAGCAATGTCTTTTTTTCAGAATGAGTCATTTCTAGATTAATTTGTATCATACTATGCCTTAATAACGCTGATGAAGTAACTTATTTGGAACTTAAACCAAAACTTTCTTTTAAGAACTGAACTGAACTTTTAAGAAATGATATTACTTAGTGTTTATCGGTTAAAGCAAATCGTTCACTAAAGCAATTTTACTTTTGATAGTGTTCCCCCTCCACTAAAAAAAACTTACTGTTTTTCTTTATGAATAATGAAAAGGGTGGCCATAAAAATATTCCCCGTTGTATGAACCCCTAGCAGCCTATCTACTCAACCATTCGAAATGAAATTTCAGATATTGTTATTTGAATATATGCTCTCAAGATTGTGATGATTTAAAGCAATTGAGCTCTCACGATTATGATGACAGTGAAAAATATTTCCAAATTTTCGAATGGCAACACCCACTTTTTATCCTGAGTAAACTGATCAGCGCATTCAAAACCCTTAAATGGCGTTTGAAGATACGCGTATGACGAGCATTGCCGTCGTAAAAGGTTTGCGACGAAGAGCATTGTCAAGGAACAATGACAACAAAAGAAAAGAGAAGAGAAAAACTTTTATTGGAATTAAATAAGTTTTCAACATGTACAACGTTTTAAGATAGAGTCATCGCCCGTAAATTTGCAATTTCGTTGTCACAGCGATCCCTCGATCTCACTCCGACGGATTTCTCGTTCTGCGTTTAATTGAAATTCGATTACAGAATTTACACAGTGTGCACAGATTCGTCAGAATTGAAAGATACCGTAAAACGTGAAGTTATACAAATTTCCGGCTCCAATGTTACGTTCGTCATTGTTGTCAACAATCTCCCGCATGCGATGCATTATTGTCTGCGAAGGTGGGAAGTTGAAAACCTATAATTCCAAAAAAGTTTTTTTCCCTCTTCTCTCTTGTGTTGCCGTTGGTTTTTTACAGTGCTGTTCTTCCTAAATGTTTTACGCCGTCAATTTTCGTCACAAGTGTATCGTTCCAATGCCATTTATGGTTTTTCAATACGCTGGTCAATGTGATTGCCATTCGAAAATTTCGAAATATTTTCACTGTAACTGTAACCGTCAGAGCTCTATTAAGTCAAACCATCAGTTTAAATTACTTTTAAAAGTACTGGTATTTATTTTACAACTGCTTAGATTGTTTGTATTAAAATTGCTTTTAAGTTTGCATAGGTAAGTCTGCTAAACGGATGTTGTGTTAGGACAAAAGTTTATTTCTTAGGTTTGTTCTCCCATTTCCACATTTGAATGCAGCGATGCAAAACTATTATCTTTAGTAAGTCTGATGTTTTTCAATTTCATACATTTCTCGAAGGCACTGTTGAGTAATATGTGATGGTCTTCCGGATCTTGATACGTCCTTTGAAGAAAAATAATACTTCAAATTTTCAGAAACCACTTTTATCTTGTTCTCACATTCTTTCATCTCGGATAAATGCTTTTAATGTTGGGTATTGCAGTTTATGTTTCTTTCCTTCTCAGAATTCTTATAACATGCAACAGTTTACATATTGGACTCAATAGATCGTTTCCTATGTTCCACTTATCTAAAAACACCGAAATTACTTCAGTACAAATCATACTCAGTAAACAACATTCACTACAACACAGATAACCTGCTGTCTAAGGCAAAATTTCTCAACGAGAAAAAAAAAAAAAAAAAAAAAAAAAAAAAAAGATGTCAGAAAATAACAAAACTTCCTCATAATATAAACTCTGATACGATAAAAGATATCATGTTAAAAGAATGTGATAAATTCCTTCATTAACAGAAAGTTTCCAACGAGTAAAATATCTTCGAGATCTGTATGACCACGCTGCAAGGGTTAAAAGTTTAAACGCTTGTACAGTGCAGAAATATGCTGTTGTTGCGATTCATTTCCCTTCTCTGAGAATAACATCAAAATAAGTTCGCGAATTTTATCGAAGCGAGGATCGCACGATTGCGTCTGTCGCTGGCATGAGCTCTGGGCATCTTTGCAGAGGCAGTTACCCATTTTTTAGATGATTTTGCTTTGCTATATAAAATCGTCTCCTTGGAATTTTTTTTAACTACAACTATATTTTTGAAAGTATAAATTGTAGTCTGCTACTTAAAAGTTTTATTATCATGTAAAATGGCACTTTTAAAGATGGAAGATTATATTTGTGCTCTTTCCGAAGGAAATTATTCGTATCTTGTTATTAAAAAGCGCTGTGCGAGCCATGGG